TATATGTGTACATATGTATACACATACATGATATATACATATATATAGCTTATAATATAGCGTAAAAACAATCTAACATGTACGACCCCATGCATAACATCTAATATCCGATGTGTGGAGTGTAACATGTAACATTATATATATATATATAGTATATAATATACAATCTGAAACCCGTGATATGGCATATATAACATGTAGTACATAACATGGACTAGAAAGTGCACAATATATAACATATAACCTAACATCCGTAGAAAATAACATTTGATATGTAGGATATCATAAATGCACGCCGCCAGGGCGTGCCATACTGTAAATAAACATGCTAAATAAAATATATACAATATTGTACATTACAATACCACGCAACACAATGATACAAGACCATGCAATGTAACATAGTATATAACATGACATGATATTAATGACATTGCCAAAAATAACATAAGGCAATATAACATGCAGTAACAAAACATAATACAACCTGACAAGATAGTTTTGCATAATATGATATACTGTAATATAGTATCATTTAATTCAACATTCCATAATATAAGCAAAATAAAATATAATGGAATTCAAAGTAGTATAATACAACAGAACTCCAAACACTGTGATCTATAAGAACCGAATAGCATAGAAGAAAACATGAACTCATAAAAACTGTGATAAATTCTAACATATTATAATATACATGCATACATACATTCATACATACATATGTATTCATATGCATTTATGCGTTTTCCCTCTCGAAGCAAATGTATGTAAATGTATATGTATGCACATATCTGTATGTGTGTATATATGTATATATGTGTGTGTACATACTTGCTTGCTCTGACTGGCCCCTCTTTTTCCGTGTTTCAAGACTGTCGTCTCCTGAAGCGTGCGCTGGGACCCATGCAAGATGAGAAAGGTGATTTCTGCCAGCGAGTTGTTCCGATTGTCTTCATTGCCCATGGCCTGGTGCACGTCAAGTCCTTGATGGTGCTTCGCGCTTTCCGACTGCGACGGGTGGCGTTCAGAGCAAGCTTCCATCTCACAGCCTGTCACGCCTCATTCATCATGGTGATTCGCAATTTCTGCGAGACTCCTGGCGATTGAGAACTCTTCCGTGGCCTGTCCCGACCATGGCCACTGCATGCAGAGGCACAGCTCTCTCATCCAAAGCCTGGCCTTGAAAGCCCATACCATTAAACACACAAGTGCCTGCGAGAGTCGTCTCGAGGACATGCACGCGCCTGCACCGCCTCGAGCAGCTGCCACAGCATAGGCAGCAAATCGCTCCGCCGGCGTTCCCCCAAGGTCGCGATGCAACGATGCCACAAGGTGCATCGTACGCATCACCATGAGCATGTCGCCGGGAATGCGATCGGCAAGCAGACCCAAGCCAGATATAGCCAAAGACGATGCGCTTGCCCTCTCCGGGAGGATTCCAAGGCTTTGCAGTTTAAGTTTCAGCTCCTTCTTCTGTGCTGATGTAATCTTCTGTCCCAAGCCAGCTTGCGTCTCGAGGGAGCGGTTGGTGAAATAGAGCGGAAGCAGCTCTGCTGTGTTGCTATCGATCCCCAAGCTTGTGCAGTGCGTCTTCAAGCTCTGAGCGTCTTGCAACGCCATGGCCTGCCACAGCCCGCAGTTGGCGCAGCGACGCTGCTCCGAAAGCTCCCGATATAAACCGTGGTCTAAGATCACTAGGCGGGCTTTCTTATGTTCTTTCCCCATCTCCACGAGCAGGTTGCCTGGATGAGGGTCGCAGTGTAAGTACCCAAACGAAAAGACCATTGTGCCGAAGGCTCGGACAAGCAGTCTGGCTGCAGCAGAAGCCACTTGAGCCTCTTGCTCTTCCTTTGGGGACATCGGCAGCCTCCTCGACTTCTTCTGTGCAGACTTGACTACATGACTGATCGGAACACCATGCGAAAAGTCCATCACCAACAACCTTCGTGTTGACAACCTACGATGGACTTTCGGTATCCAAATGGAGGATGCCAGGTCCGGGTCGCTTTCGAAAAGCTCTCGGCTGCGATCTGCGTGCTTCGCTTCCTCGCGAAAGTCAAGCTCATGTGAGACATTTTTCTCGAACTCGTCGATGGCCCACGCCATGGAGAAGTTTTCCTGCTTGAAGACAACACTCATAATCCGCTCCAAACAACGAACAATGAAGATGTCACTGGCCACAACAGAATCGATATGGCGATGCTGCACCTTCACGGCAACCTCGTGCCCGTCATGTAGCTTCCCACGGTGGACCTGCGCCAAGGACGCACTTCCCACAGGCTCCACATCAAACTCGACGAATACGTCATGCAAGTCCGTGGGCTGCAAGTGGAGCTCGGAGCAAATGACCATCTTCACCTCCTCCCAGTCTCCGGCAGGGGCACGGTCTTGTAATTGTGCTAGATGCTGTACATATTCTGATGGCACGGCCGGCGCCAGCGTAGCAGTGTGCTGACCGATTTTCACAAACAGCCCACCGTTGCCCCGGCACATCTGCAGGGCAAGCTTGGCACAGTCCTCGTGGGTTTTGCTCAAGAGCTCCTCGTAAGTATCCGAAGGCTGCGCACTGTGCCACCATGACAAGGTCTTGTAACGAACGGCCATGTTTCCCACGCATGCCGCAGCATGCAGGGCTCTGCGTAACGATAACAACGTCTCCACGGCCAAGCGTCGCCTGTCATCGTCTTTGCACACGAGAGCCGTGCCGCCACAACCCAGCAGGGATACGCGAAGTGCTACCTGCCTTAAGCTGGCATATCGCATGGCTTCTCCATCTGGCAGCACGAAGTCACGTCATGGCTTCAATAGGCGCCTTTTTGTTGCCTCCTGCATTGCTGAAGGGCCTCTCCTGGTTTGCACGATTAGTTTTGGCTCAAGCAAACACAGTCCCGGATAGCTACACACGTGACATGTACCTGCTGTGATTAAGACCACGGTCTGGCTCGCCAAGGCTATTGGGTTCGCGAAACCACAACCCGCGGAAATGGATAGAATCGGCAACCCGAATCCTGCCTCGCAGCCTTACAAAAGTGCTTGTGCAGAGATGCAGACGATTTTCACGGTCAACCCAGAACGAACAGCCGGTTCTTGAAGATGTCAATAAGTCAATAAGACAGACAGAAAGATATTACAGCATCTCGGCCCCAAGCACGGAACTTCAGGGAGCTCGCTGCTGGATCACCACAAGGAGCCTGGAGTACGAATGATTGCGCAGTGTACAAGAACAACAAGCAATTTCAAATCTCAGGACAATTCGGAGCAAGTGCATCTATGCGTTTGTTCACGTGAATATGCATGCATGTATGTATCTTTCCTGCCTGCCTGCATACATGCTCTCGGGTCCCGGGCCCCTACACGCCCTCCCCTCCTCAAAGGGAATTCCCCCCCCTCCCCGCTGGCCCCGCGGGGACAGTCGCTGTTTCGCCGCACACCGGAACAAACCCGCGCACAAAATACAGGGAGGGACGCCCACCGCATCCGCCCGCGACAGCCGTCAGAGCAGGGACAAGCGCACCATTTGCAAAGACAAAGCGGCAACCTCAAATCCTCTAGCATCGTAACGGCCGCCAATAGGATTACATTGCTACTGCTAAACGGCTGCAGCCATACCTCTGCAGAACACACTGCCCCTCTACAATAGTCTGCTAACTGCTCAGCAGCAACCTACAGCTTGGGAGGATAAGAAGACGAGAGATCAAGAAGCCCAGCAAGACCACAGGCACCACCACATGTCCACGGGGTGAGGGAGGGAGGGGACAAGGCCAAACAAGAAGACCACCCAGGTGCATGCATGCATGTATGTGTGATTCCCACTTCGGTTGCGTGTTTGCGTATATATTCACTGCAAGTGTGTAGACTCTTTCGATCTCTTTCGAGATGTATGTAGTGCGTATTTATGTCTGTCAGTGCGGGTTTTCTCTTTACATACATACGTACATACATACTACATACCAGACAGACAGTCAGACAGACAGCCAGCCAGCCAGCCCGCCAGCCTGCCCGCAAAGACAGAACACATGTTTCCACACACAAGCCCCAGTTGCGATTTTGGCATGCATGCAGCATGCATGCATGCATTCACGTCACAGTGGTTTCTTTTCTTATTTGAAGCAATGGACTTGGTGGATGGCAGCACGGGCCGACCATTATGGCATGTGGTGGGCATGGCGGTGATCTGTGCATAGTGTTGCGGGTCATCAGAAAATATCAGAAACTACTAGTAACACCAAACGGAAGCCATGCAAAAGCACGAGGCGTCTGTGCTCCTGGCTGCATCCATCTCAGGTCATCCGGGCATTTGGCGATTTTGTGCTTGTCACAACTATCAAGGTAAAGTCTTGGCGGCTACTGCTGAAGTACCGGTTTGGCGAATGCAGGTCCGCTGCAGGTGGCTATTGCTATGACTATGACAGGCCCTGACGAAGCCGTGAGTGCTTTGAAAGCTGTTTTGCTGTGATTGGGCTCTCACTTCAATCACGCTGAACATCCGGACGACAAGAATCCTATGCTTGACGCTCGTGCTGTGGAGCGGCATTTTTTGGAGCGTCACTCGGCCAATTCGAACTTCAACTTGAATAGCTCAACCGCCTTGTGGCAGTCAAGGACTTCGGTGCAGCAGTGCTTCGGCAAAGCATGCTGCAACAGACGACGCATGCAACTCCCGGTGCGCAGCAAGTGCTCGGACGGTTGCTTATCAAGAACCTGCGCATGCAGGCCCACGAATTTCAGAATCGGCGCCCTCTGCACAAGCGCAGAAACCCATGCCACATCATCCCGGTACAACCACCGCGAGACGTGGCGCCCGGCGACATTGCTCTTCACCCAGTCTGTGCCTATGCCCTCCAGTTCGAGAATCCAACCCAGCGCGTCATCTGCAGAGAAAAGAACGGTCCTGGTTTTCCACAGGTGCCTAGCCCGCGAGTCTGAATCAATCAGCCACTTGAAGCAACAGTGCATGGTCAAATAATTCTTCTGCGACTCCTGCATGCAGCTCAGATCGACTCCCTTGAACATAGTGCTGGCTTGCAAACCTCCATGATCCATTGCATTTGTCCGGCCGTCCCAAAATCGCAGAAAAGCAGCGTGCCAGCTGCGAACGAGGTCGCTATTTCTGGGACACGCGAGAAACCAGTTCTCTATGTACTCTCCGTGGTTACGGCGGTCTCTGCGCCCGAACTGCCTGAACACAAACGCTGCGAGGGTGACGTTTCCTTCCATGTGAGGTACAAGCCACTGGTCCAAGCACTGGTTGCAAACAACGCTGACATCCACATAAACTCCGCCGTATTTGGAGAGCAGTGCAAGGCGAACTGCATCAGCCTGAGCATCCAGTCGGATGTGGCGCCACGTGGTTGGCAGGTCTGTTTCCGACAAATACTGGAAGCAGGACTGTGCACTGAGCAGCAGGACTTGCCACGCCGGATTTCTGTGCATCCATGAGTTTATGCAGGCTCGTCGGAAAGCTCCCAGTCCCTCATGGCCTTGTGCCCAAAACATCCATATAACCCGTGGCAGCCCACATCCTGAAGGACTCCGCTGCAGAGCGGTGTGACCTGAGAGTGCCTAAAATGCTCGGCGTTGAGCAGTCTTTATGAGCCTGCCTAACATAGTCCCGCAAAAGAGAGTAAGTAGGCAAAGGGGGCCTGGCAGCGGAAGCTGGTCCAGGTCGACGCTGCAGGCATCCGCTGCAATCTTCTGCGACAGAGGCGGCCGCCAAAAGCCGGCGGTCGCAACGAAGGCTTCCAATGATGCACCTCCACAGCGACGACTGCCTTTGGACATTAATCTTCCCGCGGTGTATGTAAACGTTGGAATGCTCTGCAGTGTCCAGTGGCGACTATCTCAAGAGTCGGGATTTTTAGCACCCGGTGTCAAATGCACCCAAGGTACTGGTGAAGCAGGCAGCATCTGCAGGCAGCAAGGTTCCGGACATCACGAAATCCGGGTACCGCGCACTGAGGTGCCACATCGCCTGACGGAAAAGCTGGTGAGCGCCAGCAGCAGCAGCAGCAGCAGCAGCAGCAGTACCGGTAGCAGCGGCAGCCGCAGCGCCAGTCGCCACGCCCATCGCCCGTCTCCCATCGCCCGTCGCCGTCGCAGCAGCAATAGCAATAAGACTATCATTCGCAACAGGGCAGTTGGTTGAGAGAGGCATCGTTCATCTCAAGAGCAGTACAAAGAACATTACAGTCTTGATGCCGTAAGTGGATCTCATGCCAGCAACAACTCCAAAAGCTCTGGACTCTCACGACATAAGCATTCACAGCGACATGATGAGCACCTACGTTCGCAAGAACAATATTGTTAGCGCCAGGTACTGGTCTTGGGCGAGGCTTAGACGAACGACTGGGGTATTGCTAGACCCTGTCATCCCTTTGTACGGATTTTCGGCAGCTGTGCTGCATCAGTCAGATTTAACCTGTCTGGTTTGCGCAGCAAAGCTCCCATCCCAAAGAGGCAGACCCAATGCCAAGCATCGCGAGAAGGCCATTCAAACAGCCACACTTCGCAGGCTTCCCAGACCAGGCCGAGGCAGGTAGCTTGTACGGTCGCAACTATGCCATACCACCTTCCCAAGAAAGGAGCGGTAGCGCCTGCAGCAGCTCACCCGGGCTGCTAGCCTCGGCACAAGTGGCACAAAACTCTGCAAACTTGGAAAAGGGAATGACACACGACGAATTGACACTGGTTTGCACGCTTTCCGCGTGTGCCTTCATGGTCAAAAGCTTCTGGCCAAGCAGCGGAAACTGGCTTCATAAGCGGCAACGCCATCTCGCTGGGCAAGGGATGCAGGCCTCTGCAGCAGCGTCGTAGCACCGAAAGCGCGCCAAGTCGAGACGCCTTAAAAAGAGGCTCATACTGCAAGGAGAACCACAAGTGCTCGACACGTCGTGCAGGCTGGCAGATGTTTGCAAGCAAGACGCTGTTTCCTGCACACTTCTGACCAGCCTGATGTCCGATCAGTCGCTAATTTCATGCTTGCCGTGCACACACTCTCTTCCTGAACTGGTCATAGCCAAGGCTGCAGCGATTCGGGGGAGGTTGCACTGAAATGCACCGAATAGCCGAAACTTCGCAGCTGCGGCAAAGCCCAGATTGCAGAAGCCGGACCCAGACGCTGCAGTTGCAGAGCGAAAACCTTTGCCTCAGTCATGTCTGTCCCGGCCAGAAGACTTCGTGCAAGATGTGCTGAATGTGCAAGGCCAAAGCCACTTCACTTCTCAAGTTGTACCACCAACCGGCAGGCACCACTGCCACCTCTCCTGCCTTGGTGCTCGTGAGGAAGAAGATCCGATTGCAGGAACCCTTGCTACACAAACTCCACTTCATTCTTCTCACGCAAAATTACTAGCAACTCCGATCGAAATCGCCGTTCTGCAAGCTTAGGCTAACAGCAGCAAAGAAACAGACACATGAATCTCGTACTCACCATCAGCATCCACAGAGAAGGGAGCTGTCGAAGCTCCACCCAATCCAGGAGGCAATGCCGCTGGTGGCGGAGACTCGCTCGGGCGAAGGTGGAGGGTAGCACTCCCCAGCAACAGGAAAACACACGTGCCTGTTGTAGCAACAGGCCGCGGGGATCTCATGACTACCCAGACTGTGCTAAAGACAGATCTTGTACAGCTGGCGCCTGCCTTCCAGGGGAAAATGAGGAAAGCTTTCCACAAATCCAGGACAGGCCACTCCAACACACGGGATCTCGTCGCCAACAGCTATACGCGCCAGCCGAGGCAATCCAAACAGCAGCCAGCGACTGTGGGCACAAACTTGGCGCTGCCATGAGCAGATCGGCCGCACCTTTGCTTTGCTCTCAGGCTTTTACGAGAGGCTGCTGGCCAGGGTCCGGCGCATCGGTCCCTCAACTCAAGGAAGCACCGAAAAGAGGTAGTTGTCGAACCCCATGCAACATGTCCAAGCCGTTGAGCAAATGTTCATCACATAGCCACAATGACCGATGCTGCCTGCGGGGCATCTACCCTCTACTCACTCAGCTCGAACCGGCCATCAAGCGCCTGCTGTGCTTTGCTACACCATATCTAGACTCCTGCAATATGCAATCGAGGTGCGATGCTTCGTCGAGCTCTGCCAGAAACTCTCGGAACTTCTTTCGACTGATGAGAGGAAAGCTGCTGCCTACTTCCAGCTGTCGCCTATGTTGCACTTCGACGGCTACTTCAACTTCCCCGGCACGCTGGGCAAGGCAGGTGAGGAGGAAGGCTGCTCCAGATTGGCTGCACAATGCATGCGGCGAATGCACGCAGGCTTTGAGCAGAGCCGGCCGCTGCTCGTCAAGCCTCTGCTGGCACATGCTCGTCAAGCGGCGACATGCCAGAGATTATGAGCTTTCATGGTATGGATCATTGGCATCACTGATCTGGAATGCCAGAGAAGAGAGCTTCCTGGGGCACATTTTGCCATGGCACTTCTCGATGTCGCGTATTTCCTGCACTGGCCAATCTTCTCGGGAGTGCACCTTTCTGCAAACATGAGCTCCTGGGACAAAAAATCATTGAAACCCTGCTGCGGGCGAGCAGCAGGATGCCCGTACATTCATTGCGACCATTTGTCAAGGGTGGGATGATGGAACTGAAGGCTCTGGCTATCTTTGGTTCAGCTTGAAAATGGCCTGAGGAGGTCTCAGAATGTTTGTCACTAACCACGTCCTCAGAAGTCACAGAGTACATCGCTCCAAGCCAACACGACATCTGCAAAGCCATTGAATGCATGACCTTTTCTCGCGAAGTGGTTTAAGAAGCGGCTCGCTGCCGTTACTAGATGCTGAGCGCGAGACAAAACATAGGTTCAGCCTTGCCCAACACGGCAAGAAGTTTGTAGACTGCGCTTTTGAGAGCTAGCGTCCAACTCCTGCAAGCAGGCATCGACAGATAATAGCAAGTCTTAGCCGGAGCTCTGAAGCTCGCGCCCAGCATTGCGAATTATCTACATGGCCATACATGGCCACCACACGATGCTTCGAAGGTGTGGAGACGCGTTGTTGTGACAGCATGGCGATTGACAGGCCGTCACTTGAGGGCACATTTACAGATGGTCCCAACCGATCGCACTTCACCCCGGCAGGCGCTTCAAAACGGCAGCAAAGCTTATTGCATCTATGTCCTCTGAACGATGCTAGACGATGCCACTATAGAATGATAAGATGCTGCCGGTGCCATATCGGTCGTTTCCAGGACCAGGAGCTCTTGACATGCTCGAGCTGCACTGGAAAACTACCTGCTCAAGTCTCTCCTTTGAGAGCATCGACGAAAGTAGGCCGAAGACAGCTGGCATTTCAAACTAAAAGACTTGCCGATCCGCTACCTCTCGGAGTCCGATTCCGACGATGAATCGGAGTCCTTGGCTGCGGCTTGCGCCTGTGAGCTTCGCCTCTCTACTTCCACCAGGTTTACGCCCTAAGCCCTCGTGCCAACTTGGAAGCAGGCTGGCCTCTTAAATGGTGCTCCTTCATCCCAGCAAGGGTCCGTGGCTATCTATGCATTCTTCCCACCTACATGTGGGACGTTACACCATCTGACAAGGAGCCGAAGCAGGACCTGAAGCATCTCCCCCTGCAGTGGCCTCGAGGCATTGCCACTGGGGCCATGGATCAACTCATGACTGCATAGTCGTGCAAGCATGAGCATGCCTGGTGCATCTGTGATGGACATGTTTAGCGGCGCAACTCTACCACTCTGGCACCCCAATCACACTTCTCAAGAACGAGAGTGGTATGCCCAGTAATATGGACGAGTCGCCATAACAGACTTCGAGGCCACGGGCCGTGCCGGCGGGCGCGCTGCAACTTTCGCCACGGCTTTCGCCGCCGGCTTGGGGCTTGCCAGGTTCGTGTGAGCGGCCGTAGCGGAAGACGAGGACCCGACCCCAGCAGGGTTCGTTCCGGTGGATATCGGCTTGGATATCCGCTTGGACGGCGGGACATTTGGAGGTCGAGGGGCACTTTGCACTGCGCTGGAAGACCTCGGCGATGTCTTGCGGACCTGGCAGCTCGATAGGATTTGGATGTTTGCCTGCCTTCATCGTCTAGACACACTACCTGGTCCACAACTGCCTCCAAAGTCATGTTCGGTGGCATTGGCATGACCGGCACCTGTGCTCGGAGCTCATTACACGGAACACCGGGTGGGTGGGTGGGTGGGTGGGTGGGCGGGCGGGGGGGGGGGCGGGCGGGCGGGGGGGGGGGGGGGGGGGGGGGCGGGGGGG